TGCAAAAACGATAAAGTATTAAATTTTTCAACTGTAGATCAAGTTTTGAAGCATTGAAGTACTAGCGTGCACAGGAATCTTGTGAAGGAGGGGCAATTGTTTTTCTATGGTGCATTTAATCTGGGGATGGGGAGTACTCCAAAGTGCGTGGGAGATGGTGATGTCAACCCACCACTGTTTCTCTACTGTTCAATTTAGCTAATTTTATTTATTTTTTACTCCGGTGGTGGTTCATCTTCTTCAATGGAAACTGCTTTCAGACAGCCAATGGAATTGGCAATTTAATCCCATCGACAATGTCGATGATGATCAGTTCGTCAAATGGTTGCAATAGTAGGGCTTTAACCGAAATGATACATTTGCTGCAATGTTGTTGCCTTGGTGGTTGGATTCAGCTGAAGTCACGTCAGATGGTGGTGATAGCACCGACAAACTGACATGAATGACCAATAAGAATCGCATTCTTCTTTCGTATGCACACTGCGTCGACAAGTACATGGTTCAAACAGTCCGCATAGCAGTGAACAAACAGTATATTGCTCTTGATCAATCCAATCTTGATCAGTGGTGTTGAGTACTTGGCACTGATGCAGTCTGCAAGTAGTAGACGAAATACGCGTATCTGTCAAAAGAAAATAAACCAACACACTCAAAGCTCTTCATAAAAGTATATTGCTGTTTTCTTCCTTGCACTTGGCTTTTACTCCAGCAGTGCTGCCAGCCATTGGGCTGGCACCGTCAAAATATACTGCCAACACCTGCTCCTAAGAAATCTGCATCGCTGTCAGGACCTCAGCAATAGCATTGAAGATGGTCGTCGCGTCTGTTTTCAACACCCGTCTCACACCCACGAATGTTTCCGTCGGTCGATCATTATCAATATACCTGATGACAATCGCCAACTGCTCGTGGTGCCCACAATCGTTCGTCTCATCTGCAATGATTACCACTGGTTATCCTCGCAAGGATTTCGCAATATTCCGCAACATTACATATGTCATTTTGAATACGGTTGCTTGTGTACTGGCAATTTTTGGCACCTTCCGCCAAGTGTTTTTCCAGCACAGGATCGTAGTTAGCCACCAATTGGGTGGCACCCCAATCTTTGCAAAGTATGCGCATAATACCGATGAAACGTTCCATTATATAGCGATTTTGTAGTCGCTTTGCCTTACTAGCAGCAATCATACCTCTTTTTTTGGTGGTCCAGTTCTTCGTCAATACGAAACTAACGATTTTAAATTGGCTCACTACTTGACTAGCCTATTGGTCCCAAGCAAACGATTAACGTACCCCATTATAGTCGAAATTCTAGTACTACACAATGTTTGTTTTGATTAGCTATGAAAGTTTGACAGCTACAATGAGGGGTTAGTGGATTTTCGTATGTTTCGAGGGGTGAATCGATTAGCTTGGGACCGAAGAGAGTACCAGAGCTGAGCCAAAAAGTTGAGCACGTTTCTTCGGGACCTGCTAGTCTTAGAGTTACCTCTATGCTAATACCCACTTTTCAATTAGGGAATCCAAAAGCTGTCTTTAAACTTTGTACAGTTGCGAAAAAGTCCATTCTCAGAATTCCTTGAGGTTCTTTTCGAAATTTTTAAAACTCTATGAGGTTTTTTGAAATTCTTCTCAGAAGTCCTCTGGAATTATTTTTAGAACTCTGTTTTTACTCAGAACACCTTGGAACTAAAATTCCATTGGAGTTTCAGAAGAATTTCCTCAGTATTATCATAGAGGTAACTCTAAGACCACTGGGTCTCGAAGAAAATCATTATTATTTTTGGCTCACTCAGTACCAGAACAACGGTCCTAAGCAGTCCCAAGCTATTTCACTCACCCCTGCATGTTCTGCATGAATCCACACACCCCTGATGTTATCTGTCAAACTTTCATAGCGAATCAAAACAAACATAGTGTAGTAATAGAATTTTAACTAGAATAGGGTACGTTAATCGTTTGCTTGGGACCAATAGGCTACTAAAATGGTGAGCCAATTTAAAATCGTTAGTTTCGTATTGATTGTTGGTATTATCCAGAGATTATTCTCGGAATGAACTAGAAATTATCGGTACTCTCTTGAAATTTTCCTCAAAATCCCTTTAGAATTTCACTTAAAATTTAATTTTCTCGGTATTCTTTTCGGAATTATGTTGGAACCAAATTTATGTAGGCGCTTACCACGATGGTGGGCAGCGACAGTGGATAGCCGCCACTTACAGCAGACGACACTGGCAGGAAGCAGCACAGCAGATGCACAGGTAGTTCACTCACTTTAATTTCTTTAACAGGACGGACAGCAAACTCACGTTAAGTGGCACTAGAAATTATTCGCAGAGTTTTCTTTTAATACTCCCCAGAAATCCTTTGGAACTGTCCTCAGAATTCAATATCCGTGAGGTTCTTCGCGGATTTTTTTAGAACTCTCCTTAGAAATCTTTTGATATTCTTCTCAGAAGTACACTGGAATTATGCTTAGAACTCTTCATGATTTTTTTTTTCAAAACACCTTGTAACTCAAATTCCTTTAGAGTTTCAGAATGTTTTCCCGGAATGAGCTAGAAATTATCCTTGGAATTAGCTTGAAATTTTGTTTAAAATCCCTTTGGAATTTCACTCAAAATTTGATTTTCTCGGTATTCTTTTCTCTGTATTCTCCATAAATTCTTCCCACAGTTAGCTTGAAATTATCCTCGGAATTCCCTTGAAATTTTCCTCAACATCCCTCTGGAATTTCATTCAAAATTTGATTCTCTCGGTATTCTTTTCGAAATTATGTTGGAACTATCTGCAGGATTCACTAGAAATTATTCGCAGAATTTTCATGAAATCATCCCCAGATTTTTTTTTCTTTTGGAACAGTCCTCAGAATTCAATACCCTTTAGGTTGTTCTCGGAAATCAAGTTTAATTTGTCCGTCCGTGTCTCCAAAACGTTGTAGTTCTTCTACCAGAAATGTTCAATAAAGCTTGCTCCTCCATTCACGAGAAGTGTGCAATTTTTAGATCAGGAATTTTGAATTCAGCTTGCCCTTCCATGCAGCAGAATGTTGCAAATCATACACCAGAAATTTTCAATACAAACTTGCTATCAGAAAATTTCAATTTGCCAGTACGATGCAAATTTCCCACCGTTAATGTTCAATTAAATCTTCTGATTGGTGCCGATTTTCTTCTTCTATTTTCCACCAGACATTTTCAAATAAAGCTTGCCCCTATTTCCATATTTTTTATCATAAATTTTCAGTAAAGCAGCTTCCCTCCAATCATCAGAATGGTGCACAGATTTTCCACCAGAAATTTTAAATTTAGTTTAATTTTAAATAAAGCTTGTGCCTTCATTTTCCAGACTAGTGCAAGTTTTCCACTAGAAATTTCCATACATTTTATTAATAGAACATGCTCCTCCATTCACCAGAACGGTGCACCAAAAATGGTCAGTGAATTTTGTTTCACCATGCACCTTTGTGGTGCAATTTTCAGGCTTTGCCTCTTCATGCAGAATGGTGCAAATTTTCCACCATAAATTTTCAATGAAGCTTGCATTCATCAGAACGATGCAAATTATGCACCAGAAAACATAATAGACCTTGCTTTTACATTCACCACAGTGTTGCGAACTTTCCACCAGAAATGTTCAGTTCAATGTGCACCTACAAATTTTTAGCACGATTCAATTTTAGAACCAGAGTTATTCATTTTGATTAGTCCCTCCATGCACCACCTTGATGATATTGTTACACCAGAAATATTCAATAAAAAGCTTTTTCTTCGATTTACCACCACAAAAGTGAATTTTTTAACCTTAAATTTACCCTTTTCTTTTAACCCTCCATGATCAACCTTGAAAAAAAAAATACACCAGAATTTTTTTGTATTCACCAATGTGGTGCAATTTTTTGACCAAGAAAATTTCATTGAAGTTTGTCTCTTCATGCACCTTTAAGGTGCAATTTTCAGGCACCATCTCAAAGCAATTGACGCAATAAAAGGGTTTCAATTTTACCTTCAAATCAAGTTATCAAGAAATCTAGATATTTTTTATCATAACTTTGTAAATGTGGAAATAAAAATCTTATTTATAAAAGGTGGAGCAATTGCCCCACCTTGCCCCACCCTATGCACGCCAGTGCATTGAAGATGAATCAGGAAAAGTGAAAAAGTGTTCCGCTTCCTATGCCACACGGCAGAATTTTCTGCTCACAACAGTCTTTTTAACGTCCTCCTATCCACCACCAGAGGTTGAATCGATCGCTTAGTTTCTATTAAATAGGCATATAAATGGCGTAATCTCAAATTAACAATGCTTGTGTTTGTTGTTTATTTTGACAATGCACTTGTTTTCAAACTAGAATGTGTTTTACAACACCAACTTTACTAGAACAAAGAAATCTGCATCATTGTTTTTTCTAGAGTTGATGGTTTCAATAATCTAAACGCAATCTTACACCGAGTGGCCATCTTACCCCGTCGTCCCTAGTTCATATCAACCTCCACCAAGGGCAACAAGTCTTTGTTCATCGTTTTCGGCAGCTCATCCTTCATGATTTCGATCTAAGAACTGGAGAGAAAAAGTTATTGGGCTCTGAATACCACTTTGTTGATCTTATGATGACGAGAATTGGATTCGAAAGCGTAATAATGTGTTGCTAATGGAAAACGCAGAATGAAAATTATCTGTAAAGTACTAATTTTAAATGCTATTGAGCAATCCAACATCACACATCAATGCACCGCTGCTACATTATTTTCCCATCACGTGAATAACTCAAGCGTATCCACTGTTGGTGTCTGAAATGTCACCAGGAAAAGATGGCTGGAATATACAAACAAATGACTAATTTTAATATACAAACAAATGATTAATTTTATGCAAAGGCTATGATATTATCACACTCCACAAAAAAATCTATAAATGCATAAAATCTCTAAAATAATTATATTGATAATAATCACAAGTTGTAGTGTCATATTAGAAAAGTAGGATGATCAACTTTTTTATTTAATATCAAGTATCCTTAACTCATGTATAGAATCGACTTGCATGCCTTCTAATGGAATGTTTTGTACATCAAAACATACAAACAAGTAGATCACGGAGCTCACCTTTGAAGATGACCTAACTAAAAATTGGCTTTCTCAATTAGTTACCTAAGGCTTAAATATCTTTTCAATCCTACCTTAAACAGATTCACGATTGGCATTACTGTCCAGTTCTAGCTTCTTTCGAAAACTCAACTTCATCTTGACCACATAGAACAGAATCTTCCACCATTTCTTCAGCTCCACCAGCAGGAAAATGCAAAATATCACTCCCATCCCGATGCACACCCCAGCATAAACCACAAACTGTCCCTTGATGGTCGTGAAATTGACCACAACCACCGTCAGCAGACACTGCAGCACCGATCCGATCATAGCATTGATCCCGAACACCAGCCCAAAGCTGTCCCGGCAGATATTTTTCGCAATTTCCGCACTCAACAGGGTGATCGTGAATGCATGCAAAATGCTGTACAAAATGTGCGCTCCGTACGCCACCCACAAGCTGGCGGTCAACCCCGAAGTCAGCAGAATACCTCCCTGCATGAACGATATCCAGCTAAGCCCCGCCAGCGCATTCGGCACTTGCAGAACCTTAGCCGGAACGAACCCGGCGGAGAATGTGATGACTGCCCCACAGATCGTCAACACCGCTTCCACAGCTCCGTTCCAATAGACAACCGTCGCTCCACCGCTGATCGTACGCCACAGGACCTGCACGTACAGAACCGTCTGGTAGTAGATGCAACTGGCCAGGGCGTACCAAATGCTGAACCGCAGGACGGTGAAATTACTGTACGCGGATTTTACGTGAAACCAGAGCAACTCCAAGGCAGTGAGCTTCCCTACTTCCACACCTTCGCTGGACGACGACGACGACGGTGGTGGAGATGAATCAGTCTTCGTGACGCCGTTTTCCACCGCTGCGGGTGGATCTTTGGTAGAGCTGATACCGGAGACGGCAGATTGGTTGAAATAGATACTTTTCGGTGCGGATGGCAGGAACAGGGCGATGGCGGTTGTGCATGATTGAACTGCAAAGAAAGCGAGCAGAATCTGTGTATGAGAATGGAACATTTTTGCCCTGGGTACGTGACGGTACGTTCATTCATAAATGCGCACGGCAGGTAACTTTGCGCTTCATTCAATTCTAATTGGCTAATCGATAGGGATCAGTCCGATTGGGAGCTTGCTTAATGGATGTTACGAAAACAAAGTTGCGTGTAGGTTAATGAGATGTGGTGATAATTGTGTAGGAAAGTGGTGCTCCGAAGATACTTAAAATACGTCATAGATTCAGTCGGACACATTGTTTCTTCTGTTTGTGCTTTGAAGCCGTTTAAATAGTATTCTGATTTCAACAAAGTAAACACTCAGTAATGTAACCATGAATATGTTGGGATTTGTTTTGGGAGGTTTTGACCTTTTTAAAGATCTTTTTAAAATTTCCGAGACTATTATGACACATTACTTCAAACTTGTTTTTGTAATCAAAGGAACACATCTTAGTGCTTTTACTTGTTATGCCTTGTTGATAGTGACTAAACTCGGCTTTGTCTACCGAGGATGATCTTGAAACAAGCAAAAAATGAAGTGTAGTTTGAAGTGGTTAAGACTAGGATTCTGATACATGGTCATTATCGGTGTTATTGCTTAATTTTGTTGCTATGGAATCCATTTTTGACTAACAAAGGGGCGCGCCTTTGGAGGGTGTTCCAACACTCCGAAGGGTATAAAAAACGGGACCTTACAATTAAAGGGTGTACCGTTTAAAATCCGCACAAACTCAAATTGCTCTAGCTTTTGATCAGTTGGGTAAAATTAATTGAAATTTTGCGTAGACATAGTTTAATGTGTATTGTTTACACTCTTCAAGCGATTTGTACTTGTGGAAAGCGGAGTATACCTTTCGTTACCGCAAGTACCATGAATGGACAGGCGTATTTGGAAGAGTGTCTCCAAAAGCGGCTTCTCCATCTCCTGAAAACTCACGACGGTCCGACGATCTTCTGGCCGGATGTGGCATCATGCCACTACACGAAGGACGTGCTAGAGTGGTATAAGGCGAATGATGTCGATTTCGTGTCGAAAGATCTGATCCCCCCAAACACTCCGGAACTTCGGCCAATAGAAAAATACTGGGCCATTATGAAGGAGCACGTTCTAAAATTACCTAAAGTAGTGAAGAATGTAGAAAAAAGAAGAAAGCAAAAAACTGTTGATTCCGAGGTCGTGCAGAACCTTATGGCTGGGGTTAAGGCCGTGGTTCGCGCAATCGGATATAAAGGCAAAATAAATTAAATTTGTACGGATTTTAAACGGTACACCCTTTAGTACCAATAGCCTGAGAGAATCCAAACTTTACTTTTATCATATTAGGGATTTTTTTTCTCCTTGATTTGTTTTCCGTCGATCTTGTTTTTCGTGCTGACTACCAATGCTACCGACGCCACACCTCCCACACCTGGACCCTACCTATCGACCAATGAATCGCATAATATATGCGAGGGGGGCAACACATTTAAATCTCAAGTTTAGATTCTCAACAAATCTCACACTAGCGAATCAATCTTCGAAAAATCTTCTTTCATTTGTCGCATCTACTTGCATCGCGCATCATCTTTTTGCAGGAAATTATCAGAATCGTCATCAATCTTCTTTCTATCTACTCAGCGTGCGCGCAGCTAGCCGCAGCAAAACACAATCTTTTCTGCATCGTAGATAGAGTCGTCCCCCTCGAATATATGTGGAACTCGATCATCAAAAATCTACCCCATTTCAGTGATTTCAAGTGGTATAGAAGGACATCAATCTGTCAATTTGATTATACCAGCTGTAAAATGAGTTAAAGGATCAAGGGGGTAGTCAATTTTATTAAAATAATTCTAACGTGGTTTATAATAAACTCATCTCTTCGTATTTTCTTAGCAATTTACGTTTTTTGTTTATAATTATATAGCTAGCTTTAATAAATTCATCATCTTGCTTCACACAGCAAAATATTGACGTTTGCATTATTTGTCGATTTTTAATGCGATGACCTGCCACCCAACTATTTACAGCCCAATTTTGATACCAAAACGTATTGGTTTTCCTGTAATTATGGCCAAACAAGTTTGGAACTTCCAAGCGTTCATTTCATCTCATTCTAAATTTACGCAAATTAATTTTTTCAATTTTTTTCTCTGTGCGGCAAATTTTGAATAAAAATGTTTGTACCATCTTTTCTTTGGACATTTTTTTTGTAACCAATTGCATCAATCTTTGATTTCATAAGGTTTTGGTATGAGAAAAAATACCACTGTGCAAATTTGGAGTTAAGTACATACATTTTTAAGTCCAGAGAGCAGCAGCAATATCTTCGAATTGTTTGCATTACATTGCATTCAATTAACATAACATCCGTAATCAATCCAATACAGTTCAACCAGGTCGAAGAGATGTAGAAATATTGCTTCTGTTTAACAAAGCTCTTGATTGACTTCTGATCGACTTGAAAACACAAGTGAAAATATCCTTTGAAAAGCCCCCTGTAGAGCTAGTCGAAAAAAGAATGGCCGCATTATCAAATGAGCTGTAAACAGCAAACTCTGTCAACCATTTAAACAGCGGAGGAACAAAAGAGACGATAAATTCTCTGGGCCTCACCTCTTTACACTCATTGCGCATTATCTTGACAATTGACAATTCGCCTTTTCGTTCACTCTGTAACTCTTTACTCCTATGGTAAAATCCGTAAAATCCCATAAGCAAACATCAGTCTGACCGTGAAACATGGTGAACATTTCCTTACCCTTTCACTTCTATGAAAATCCCATAAGATACTGTCAATCTTTCTGTGAAAAGACGGTGGCTTGCTGGTACTAAAGGCTCTTTAGCTGGTACCATGGTGGAATGAAGAGATAAGACAAAGTCCGCTAGATTGTCAGTTGCTTAAGAGATTTTACCATAGGGGTAAAGAGTAGCAGAGTCGCCGTCAACATCAATGCTTACTGAGCATGCAACCATGTATCTGCTTTTCTTTCATAAGGGCCAATGCCGCAAATGTAAACAATTACTTTTTCGGAGAATTTCTCGAGAATGAAAACTCACTCAAATAAACCACCACGATGATTGTGTAGAGCGAGAGTGTGACATGTGCATCCCACATGTCATTTCCCATGCTTTTCCATTATGCACTTCCAGCAGACCACACTAGTGGGAACATGCTGAGAAGGATAATTCTACCCGGCATTGAACCTTCAGTTCAATGCCTGTAAAATATCTGTCAGCGTTTATGGCGACAAACAGAAGTGTCGCATTACTAATTTATTGAACCATGCTGTTACCGAGTGTACAGCGATGGATTTCTATCTTTCCTTTTCCCGCATGGACAACGATCGCTGATTGGTGATCGTGTACATAGCATTTTTCATATCGGTGCTTCAAGTGTCTCCAGCTAGGAGTTTGTAATAAATTCGAGAAGACAATAAATTGATTCCCGCTTTAACCAGCAAAGAAAACGTATTGCTTCGTACGACCGTGAAATATCACAGTCAAGAAGTTAAAGTTCAGTACGGACTTTACAAGAGTCCTCCTATCCGATAGAAATGGTGGCTTACATTGATTGACTTTGAACTACGAGAAATTTACGAAAGAAGCCATGGTTTACGATTTCGACATTGGTCCTTATGAACGCTGAGTGTCGATATCACGAAAATTTTGTTTTGACAGATCGATGTCCAACTATGCCAGTTATACCACTGAAGTAACACAAAAAAGGGGTCAACTTTTAGTCATCTATTTTGCATGAAGTTCCACATTTGTTATGTGCATCAATTCATGAATCGGGTGAACTCAAATTTGAGTTGATCTGATTGGCCGTGCCGAATGCTGTCAACTTCCATTCCCTTCGGTGAAGAATGATTTCCCCGCAATTAGGTTCTGCAGCGTGACGTCACAAATGAACTCAGTGTTAATCGGCTGAACCTTTTTGACAGTTCAGTGGTACTGTTTACGAGCACTTAGTCGTTTTTTCGAAAAAAAAAATATTCTAAAATTTCCGAATTTTAACTTGAAAATTGTCGAGGAACAGCGCGTTGAAAGGATGTTGCTCGTGGACATTGCAGAAGTGTGGTTTACATCTCACTGCAGTCTGAAAAATTATCGAGAAAATCCACCCAAGAAAAAATCGACTAAGTCCACGTAAACAGTACCACTAAACTGTCATCAGATTGAGGTTAACCCCGACGGTGCAAAACCTAATTGACCACTTTGTCAAGCAGTTTTTGCGTGAATTTCTACCAGCGATTTCACAAAACTGGACCAACTAATTTCTATTTTTTTGTGAAACGCACAAATGTTGGCTACTTTTCTCGAGGTTCTAGAAGAAAAAATCTTAAAATAATGTTTCATTTCAAAGTTCGAGTGGTAGTAAACGTCATTTTATCTGCTCGAATGAAGTGGTTAATTGAAATCGAAAGAAGTGCATTTCCAGTTTGCAAATACTTTCAATGGTTCAACGTTCAACGGTTAAAGTTTCCATTCAATATTTCATCGAACAATCGCTGATGCAATGCTTAGGAGATGTTGATGCATCCGATTTTCGCAAAGATACTGAACACGCAATGGCTAAAACCCTCTATAATAATGAAAAAATGATAGGAATGGCCCGATAGGAATATGGATGAGTTTGTAATCACTGCCTGAGTTCTGAGTTCATTAAAATATATACCTATATACAAGATCGTCTATTTTTAATCCAATCCGAAGCCAGCACAAGGGTTCATGGTTTCACAACGTGCCGGCACTTCTTCACACACGTGACATAATATAGTTCATACGAACCGTGCAAATATTCAGAACAAAACAATCTCACATGCGTTTCCTGTAAGACGATTCAGTGACAACCCTATCGTAAACAATAGACTTTACTAGCAGATGCGAAGCATCTTCCTTATCAGCTGAAAGTCCTGTGTTTTTGTTTTCCATTTCATAATGATAAGAAAGCCAACCGAATAAACCGATTCAGGTCACCTCGCGGGCAACATGTGAA